ACAATTCATTCCAACTTCAGCATTTCACAAGCATTAAGAACAGATACATTAATCAGAGGTTAAAATTCAAAGTACAGATAGGCAAAAATAAATTAATAAAAAGATTGAGGTTAAGGCAGAGTGTGGTTGAAAGTGAAGCAAACCATAGCACCAAAGCCTCATTGAAAGAAGATAGTTACTATTCAGTTCTAGGAGATTTTTATCATGGTGACTGTGACAAAGGAAATCTGATTCCTGTAATGAACAAAGGTTGATGATATTTATTAGATTGCTCCTCTATTTTAAATAAAGCTAATTGATTCCAAATTATAAATAATTTTAAGGTATAGCAAAGCATGGGGGAATCTTCACCAAAGTCTGGCTTTGGCTCTGAACTTTTACCTAAAGCATTTCTATAAATCATTGACATGGCAGATCTGAGACAGAGTTTGAGTACCCCACTAATCATCACTGTGATTTGCATTGAATTGTGTCTCCCAAAATACATCTCAAAGTCCTAACCACTGGTACTTGTGAGTGTGACCTACTTAGGATCATTGAGCATGTTATCAGTTAAACTAATGTAATGACAGAGATATGAGGGAACTTAACCCAACCACTATCATCATTGATTGTCAGTGAATCTGGTCTTACTCAGGTGACTACATTGTATGTTCCTATGTTGATCCCAATTTCTATAAAGCATAATGCAATATTAGTCCATATTTAAAGTACATATCATAAGCACTCATAATATGAACTTAAAAATATATAGCTATGAGCCATAATAAACCTGTAAGTCATGAAAAGTCATAAATGTTCTGATTTTAGACATAGAAACCTAGAATTGTGTGCAGTGTGTACAGAATAAAAACCTTCATGTTGACATTGAGCTGACAGGCTGTACAAAGAAGATATAGCATAGTCTTTGTAATCTACTTTTGAGACAAATCTAAATAACGTTCTTTAATTCTAACCTTAAAGAAAAAAAAGTGACATTCTCTAACCCCAAAGAAATAACGTAACATATTGGTCTGCGACACATTGTCCCTTATTTTATGAGAAGAGTGAAATTTTCACAGATTAATAAGCTATAAATATCTGCTCACTCAGGCAGAGCAAAGGGATCATCCTCAAGTCTCATACTTTCCCCAAAATCTATCTATGAAGGACCTCCACTAAATTCAAGCTGCTGTTGTTTTCCTTCTGAAAACTCTTCTTAAAGAGATAAAATCTAAAGACTTGCCGTCTAGTCATTTAACTAATGATGTATTTATAATTGTTCATTCTGATTCTCATAAAGTTATATCTGAATGTGGAGAGGTCTTATTCATGTGCCTTGTCATAACTACATTTCAATAACTGAATTTATGCATAATAAATATAATTATCCCTTTATGAATTTCCTAAGGTGAAATCTTAAACATAACAGCTATCCATATATAACAGGAAGAAATGGTCTCAGGTCCTGTGCCAGCTGCACAATTGCTGGGACGCTCAAGTACATTGTTATAGTCACTGTCTATTTTCACTGTCTTCCAAACTACAGGATTCATTTTTCAACCCCAAATCAGACAATATTCTATTATAATCCACAGAATTTTCACTGACTGATTTTCAGATTTAGAGATGATAGAGAAGCTCAATATAAACAGTCAGAACAAGGTCAAGGGCCAACTGCAGAACAAACCATCAATTGCTCATAAGCAAGTTTACATTGAAGCAGAAGAAAATTAAGACAAATCCATGAGAACCAACGTACAACCTTTAATATATCCCCCTGAATTTAGAGATCATCTCAAAAATAGATTGAATTATTTGAATCCTAATGATTGAAGACCAGAAAAGTTGCTGGATGACATTAAGAATATCATACATAATGAAAACAAAAGTTCATTTGGGATAAAAAAGAAAGAAAAACAAAATAAAATGAAAGAACCAAAGAAAAACATTCACGCCTTGAGTTATAATATTGAAAAGGTTTCTGAGCAAAAACAAAAACAAAAAATTTAACAATGAAGAGAGCATCTAAAAAAGATTGAAGGGGAAAAGGAGATGGAAGAAATACAGACTCACTATGCCAAAAAGAATTGGTTGATGTTCAACCATTTCTCAAGGTAGCATATATTCTAGAACAAATACTATGAAAGGAAGAATTCCAAGCTGGACTGAAGGCATTAGTGAAAAACAAGGCTCTGAGAATTGACTAAACACTAGTTGAAATGTTTCAACAAACTGATGCAGGGCTGGAGGTGATCAAACATTGATGCCAAGAGATATTTGAAAGACAATTATCTGGGCAGTCAACTGGCAGAGAGCCATATTTGTAGCCATCACAAAGAAAGATGAACAATAGATCGTCAAATATCATTAATATAATATCTAAGTAAATTGTGAATAAGTCTTCCTCCAATCCTGTTCTACTTCATATAATCCAACTTCTCTAGTTATTTGCTCAATTTATGAATTGAATAAGTATGGTGAAATTAAATGTACTTTCAGATTTTAAATCACAAAGTATCCCTTGTTCTGTTTTAAAAAAGAAAGAAACTCACAAAACCCAAACAAAACAAAATCTGCCCCTTAGTTTACATACAGGTTCTGGATGAGCACAAAAAATAACTAGAGCAGGTGGCTTCAGTTGTGTGTAGATTGTCGGTAAAGCAAGAATCTTGAGATGGATCATCCTGGATTAGAGTGTCACTAAACCCAATCCCGATCCTGAAAATGACCACCTTACAAACTAGCACATGAAAATACGTTTCTTCCTTGTCACTCAGAGCTCAGTTAAATGCCCCATCTTCAAAGAGGGCTTCGCTGAGTATTTCATGGAAAGCACTCCATAGCTTGGCTTTCTTCCCATTGTTCTCTGATGGACCAATGATCCCATAGAATGGAAGCTCCTTGATAGCAGGGATTTTACGTGTGTCTTGCTCTCAGAGATAAAGGTTATTCTATTTTTTTTCATAGAAGGAAAGAAGGAATGGAAGAAGGAAAGGTGGGAAAGACAGAGCGAGAAAGGAGGGAGAGGGGGAGGAAAAGGGAAAGAAGAAGAAAGGAGGAAAAGAAATAGATGGGTAATGATGACCATTTCCAACTAATTCCTTCTTATTAGCATCAATCAGGCCACTCCTAAATTTGCTATGACCTAGTTTTGAGAATGAAGCAGTGGTGAACACAAGGAAGGAGCCCTAGTCTTAAACAGCAATAGGCAGAGGTTTGGGGGGAAAGGATCACAATCATATTATTAAAGAGGAGAAACAGAGTAGTTATTTAAAACTCTACTCTCACTCAATGTTGGTCCTTCATAATCGGGAGTATGAAAGTAAAGACTGAACGATATTTTATACAGTATTTTGTAAATTATATTTTTTGAATTAAAATATTTAAAAACCCACAAAATACATAACTTGTGAATCATCTTAAAAGAGCTTATAATAGATAAAATGAGTTTTCATGAAGTAAGATATAATCATGTTGCTAACTGGCATGATATACGCTATCGAATTTTATCTTTTTCACAATTGAATCATAATTAGGTTTTCAGGGCAAAATTGATCACAAAAAGTAAATATAATTCTTAAACTTCAACAGATATTTGGCTCTAAATAAGAAGACTTCTAAGAAATGTTTATGAAAAAAATTATCTAAAATTACTTTGCTCAAAGAAACTCTTTGAAGAAGACAGGGAGAGGGATTATACCTATGCAAAAACTTTAAAAGTGTATTTACATAAAACTTTAAAAAATTTTTAAATTAAAAATACATGCTTGTATTCATATAACATGATAGGAAACAATGACTTTTAAGAGCAGAAATGTAGTATAATTATACTTTATAATTAACAAGCATTTATAATTTATGTTGTGTTTTATGGTATCCATTTGGAATGTCAGGTAATTCTTGACATTTTTATATTTAATCCTCATTTTACTTAGTTACAAAAATATTTTTGACTGTACTTCAACCTCTATAAACTTTAATCCTATAAAAGTATGTTAACTTTCATGTTATTAATAAGTTTCCTAATGTAGCATAACATTCCAAAATAAAATAAAAAAACAACTTACATTCCTATTATGTTACAGATTAATAATTGTTCTCAGAACTATTTCCAAGGGCGGGGGCGGAGTGGGGGGGCGAATCTTACCAGACATAAACTGTGTAATAGAGGATAATTCCATTTGGCTCCAGGGGTGGTTGCCATGACAACTTCACCATGACACCAGACAACTGTTTCACAGAGAAGTCTTGTGGGGGAGAATCAGGAGCTGAAAAGTTGGGTGGGAAAAGAGTTCATTTTATGAAACATATAAAATAAAGGGTTACGAGGGAAAATCAAAAGATCCCTCCTATCAACTTTCTGGTAAAAGAACTGGATGCAGTGCTTTCCTCTGCGGGTGTGAGACTGGTTGTTTACTTTCAAAAGGAGATGATGATAAAGATTTTGCACGGTGGTGTTAGAACATCTGTTACAGTGATTCAATGGAAAAAATATTTCATGAGAAAATAGAGTGAACGGCTATGTCACAGTGATTCGCCTACTGCTCCAGTATATCTTGGTAAATTGCAGTCCTCTAATAAAAGCAAAAACATCATTGGACTGAATAAAAGGGTTCCCCAGATAGTAAAAAGAGGCAGGGGAGAAAACACACACCTTCAAGAAGTGGGAGAGTGATAAGCACAATGCTGGGAGAGCAGTTAAAACAACTGGCTTCACAATGAAGCCTGCACTCCTCAACCATGGTTGTGTCATAGAACTGGGAGGTCATATCAGTACCTATGCACTGATCTTCAAAAGTGTGTGGATCATAAAGGCAATGCTTTGTTGCACACAAATTGAAAATGAACAGTTGCGATCTGCTTCCAATTCGGCTGTGGTAGTGTAAGGATTCAAATATTTTAGTCACTGGATATTGACTATAGAGTAGAAAATCATGATGAACTAGTGTATCCAAGATTATAATTCTAATTAAATAAAATATTTCTAATAATATTTTCTAACATTCTGAGAAGCTTTATTATGAATCATATTAACTTATACATTATTATAGGTACCCAAAAGTATTTCCAATAATTTGTGGGAAGAGCTACCTGATTGTCATTTTTCCATTTGTTTGTTGCTTCACTAAATGAGCTGAGATATAGTTGCATGTGGGCATATTCAGTTTGTTGCCACTATCTGGTAACATTTTTTAATAGTTTACCTAAAAACAAAACATTGCTTGTTTAAGATGAAAAATGGCTTGACGCACTTGCTGATAAAGAGGAAAGACCAGTCTTCAGAGTGAACACACCTCGATGTAAAGCCAACAACAATCCTTAACAACTGGACCAAAAAGCAACATCATGAGGACCAAAGAAAATAGCCAAGCTGTCAAAATTCATTTTAGTGAATCCACAATCAATGCTCATAAAAACAGCAGTAAAAAGGGGTGGGGGTGGTCAATTTTGCGTTGAGCAAATCTGCTGTAAAATACCTCTGTGAAATATTAAAAAACAAAGATGCATTTTTTTGGGAATGTTGCACTTGAACCAAAAGATGGTACTTTTTAATGGCCTTCTATGCACATAAAATCCAAAAATAATGATAAAAGAAGAATCAATGCATTTGGATTATGGCTCTGCTCCAGAATATTGAATATGCCCCTAGACCGCCAAAATAAAAAAATTGTCTTGGAAGGACATTGAGAATATTCATTCGAAGCAAGGTTTTGTCTCTAGTACTTTGGACCTGTTATTAGGAGAGACCAGAGAGTGGAGGCCATGCTTGGTAGAGGGTCAGCGGAAAAGGAAGGATTGACCCAGTGGCTGCAGCAGTGACATCAATAGCAATGACTTCAGGAGGGTGCAGGACTGCGCTTGGTACATAGCAATCCTTTGGAACAGACTCACTGATGTCTAACAACAACTGCATTGCAACTAAGTATTTTTAGTTTATATTATGTTTTATGATGTTCATTTGGAATATCAGGTAATTCTTGACATTTTTATATTTAACCCTCAGTATACCCTTGACTTTTGTTTTTGTCAAATCACATATCAGATCTCAAATTCTTGTCATTAGGACCATTTCATTAAAGTATAAAATAAATAAGTGGGGTCCTATCTGTAAGGACATTGCAGTGTACAACCTTTACTTGTGATGTTTATTTTCCCTTTGAGAATAAGGGAAATCTAATTAAAATGAAGTGTGAAACAGGACAGGCAAGAAGAGTAAGTGAAAGGAGTGCCTAGGCAGGGTCTCGTGAGAAGCACCGCTGAGAGATTACGGCAACACAGAGGCCGGACTGGGAGAGGAGAAGCAGATTGTGCCATGCTTTGGACAAAGTGGAAAAAAGGAAAAAGGGCTCAAATGACTATTATTTGGAATAAAATAAGAGGACTCAGCGGGTAAAATGTCTTCCTTCTCGAAATACCACAATTTTGCTGAGGAATGACTTGAGATCCTTAGGGTTTGGGCCAGCATGAAGGTTGAGTAAAGAGAGAAAGGGAGGGTGAGGGGAGATACCACACAGCAGTTATCTTACATTCAGGTATAGCCCTTAGAGCAGCAGATAAAAATAAAAAAACAAATTTTCTCAAAACATACACTATGTAAAATGTAAATATTGATCCCAAATACATCCCTCAAAAAGCCATTTTCTAGCAAGATCGATTGTTACAACTTGGTGAAATACCAGTGGTCTTGGTAGTAAAGTTGAGTTTTTCAGGTTCATAGTAGATATGTTTAGGAATTCAATATACATGTGTTGTCATCACAAATGTGCTTGATACAATTGATGTATGGATTGTTATAAGAGCTTTAAATGCCCAACAATAAAATGATTTATTTTAAAAAATACTTACTACTGAAATCCTTTTTTAAAAAAGGAATTCAATATAAAAAGCATTAACATTCAGAAATAATATCTTGTCCAATTATGTAGCAAGACCTTGAGAGTAGGCTGAATTCATTAAAAAGCAAGTTTTAGCACCACAGGGAGAAAAAAAAATCTGAAAATTGACATAAAGACAATCTCCTACAATACTTATGTTAATGTCTATTTTAATGAATGTAAAAGCTGAAAAGCATGGTCATAACAAACATCAGTCAATGTTCAAACTGTTCAGACAGAATTTTTAGCAGTAAAAAACTGTTTGCAAAAAATATTGCTTATTCTTTTAAAAGAGTACCAATGACTTCATATGCAAAGCAGCATGTTATACTTGAATTTACTGAGTGTAAATCTGATTTTCCTAGCTACTTTTACCCCATGACAATGAAATTTCAGTACAATTGCAATGCAGTGAATTATTTAATATGACACTTTTATTCATAGCCTTTGCTATTCCCACCAAGCAACCTTCCTCTTTGATAAGTCCGGATTAGAAGGTGGGGATGATATTGATTGGATTATATAATTAAGATGCGAGTGATTATTAACAGGGTTAGTTGTGATTACCATCCTGCTACATATAAAATGAGCGATCACAGAAGCAGAAGGGTGGATTTCACTACCAAAAGAGAAGAGACATGAGTAGAACATATACTTGGGACCCCATGATCCTTAGACAGCAACTTCCATGGTCAAATAGAAAACTCTGAGACCAATGAAGTGGCAGGGGGGTAGCAGCAGCAGAACCAGGAGCCAGAGCAGGAGACATGGTGTTCTTCTCAAGCTTCAGGGGAAGTAAAGTTGAATGCTTTCTGAAAGGCTTGTGGAGTAGTGTGTCCCTGGGCACTTAATTGGGGGAACTAGTTTCAGTGACCCACAGTTATTGAGCTGACTACCTTTGGACTGAAACTTATGGTGCAGTGGCATAGCCTTTGGGTATTGCTGGTGCCCTAAAAAAAAACTGTGATGTTAGCTGAGCAGAGCAGAGGCCAGGCTGGGAGGCCTGCTGGTGGGCTGTCCTCACTGAATAACTGCATCCTGAGCATTTCTCAACTCTTAACTTCATTGATACTGTCCCTAAGAGGCCCCATAATATTCAAGATTGCCTGTGAGTTCTGTGTGGTCATTGCAATGAATTATCAAACCCAGTCACAGAAGTATAATGCTATGAGAGGAATAGCTGGTGTCAGAATAGAGTTAAGAAGGATGGAGGGTGGAGACAGTCTGACTTCTACCTGTGGCAACTGGCTTCAAGAACCAGAGATCAGAAAAAAAACAAAAAAAAAAAGAACCAGAGATCAGATGTGGCTCCCACCCCATCTTCCTCAATCATGTTAGCACCTAACTGACTCCCAAGGTTAGAGGAATATTTATATGAGATGTTCATTCTATAGACACATTTCTGGAATGTTGCTATCAAAGTGTATCAGTATCCACTACTATATTTACCATCTTCTTCTGTCAGTATACTTATCGGTGCACTCCGAACTCCTTCACCTTTGAGAGTACTAGCTGATACCTCAATAACATATTGGGTATATTTCCTCAGTCCTAAATAGAAATAAAATAGGTAAGTTGAGACTTATAAAATATCCTTTAATTATATGTAAGAGGCAAATTGTGAAATGTCTCTCATAAATCTTTCTAAAGTAATAACTAAATAGTAAATGCTATCTTAAAGATAAAATGATATAACATGGCACAAAAAAAGGACTGACCTAGAATAATTCCTAGTTTATGCAATAAAAATCTCAGAGTTTGCATATTTATAAAAAATAATTGCACTTAACGTACATAACATAAAAAACAAGGTAGTGTTTATGGCCCTGTGAATTACTTTTAAAAGCAATTCACAGGGCACATTTAATATACATGTAAATATCCAGTATCAGTTTATTTGTTTTTACCTCTAATTCTCTGGGTCAAAGAGGTTGTATTTATAGTTCTTTCTTCATTTTCATTATTTTGCCTGAGATAAATTGTATATTTTTGTATGATCCCATTAGGACTACTTGGAGGAATAAATGATAGCTCAATCTCTCCAGAAGAAATATTTTTGTAGGTAATATTTTCTGGTGCACTATAAGGCACTGAAAGAAACAAAAACATAAATGTATAAAACAACTTCATCCTGAAATCCTATTATTCAAAAATTCACAATCAAATGTGATAGGATATATATATAAAATAATCTACTCTAAGGTGTGATTACAATAAACATCCTAAATGGAATAAAATGTGGTTTATCAGATAACCAACTGAATAAAATTATATAAAATGATGAAAGGCATTTACAAGATTTTATATTAAAGTACTTGTGACTACAGTAGTTTCTTTTGCATCATGTTACATGTAGATGCAAAAAAGGAGATTGAAAAACACTATTAAAATCAATATTACTCCGATTAATAATATAATAAAGGTTAATAGGTTTCATAAGGATGTGATTATTAAAACACTAATTATCTGTGTATCAGATAATGTTCTTGTGACATTGAACATAAACCAGAAAACCATGAAGTCTGCTGATTCACAGAGACCCTAAAGGACAGAGTAAAACTGCTTCTGTGAGTGTCTGAGACTATAACTCATTTCAGGAGTAAAAGGCCCCATCTTTCTCACTTACGGCAGCTGGTGGTTTTGAACTGCTCACCTTGTGTTGTCAGACCCATGCTAATCACTATACCACCACAGCTCCTTTGATAGTGAACTTAGTGTTCCTAAAACTGTTCTCACCATATATTTCTATGTAGAATCTGTATGTAGAACTGTCTCTAAGGATTGCCAACACTGCAAATCTTTATGGGAGCAGAAAAGCTCACCTATCGTGGAGCGGCTAGGGGGTTTGAACCATTTGCTGACCCTGAGGGTGGCAGCCCAACACATAACCCACTCTGACACCAAGACTTCTGAATGCTGGAGTATATAGCCCAAATTAAGTGACTATCTTCAAGAACACAAATTTCTGTATAGAATGAAAACATTTTTGTAATTGAGAAAATTGTGGAGTTGACAAGGAAGTTACAAATTTGTGGTAGCCAGAAATAAACACATAAAAGCAAGAAAGGGCAAAGTAGAAGCGAACGAAAAATCGAAAACAGAAATCCCATTATAGAATCTAGTACAAAAGCCATCTTTGCCAAGAAGACATTGATCAATTCCCTTTTGGCTTTGTGTTTCTACACCAACAGCCATGTCAAATGTCAGGGGAAATATGATAAGGCCTTTGCTCAATTTAAGAGTAGATTCGGGTTATTCCTGAATAAGGGCTGGGACTGGAGAAGAATGCCTAGTCAGAGTCACTATTTCATAACTCTGACCAAGACGACAGCCCAACTCGACCACGGAGTCAATGCTGACTTATCGCTCCTTACAGCACCCCGCCCCCCACGCCCGAGCATTTATAGGAGTTTTAGAAAGCACAGTCTTTCTCTTGCAGAAAGGAGCCCTGGTGGTGTTGTGGCTATGGGTTGGGCTGCGATCCACAGGTTGGCAGTTCAAAACTGGCTCCAGGGGAGAAAGACCAGACTTTCTACTCCTGTGAACAGTTACAATCCATAGGGTATTAGCACTGACTTGATGGGTTTATTTTGTTTGTTTGTTTGTTTTAGGTTTCGTACTGCTGACTTTACAAATCATAGCCCAACGCGTAACTATTACGCCACCAGTGGTCCAATATCTATGAAAGATATCCTAAATTCTCATACAGGGTCCCATAGAATTCAGCGTGAGGGTCATCTCTAGGCCTTTGGAATGTAAGTCCACATCCTCCATGAATGGAAGATTGGAAAATAAACCCACTATAAGGAAAAAACCAAAAAAATGAAAATTATCTCCTGAGATTCTAGAATTGCAAACTGGTCACCACAGACAGATGTGGTCCAAATTCATGCTACGTATATACCTTAAAAACAACCAAACAGAAAACCTCAATTTCAGAATTTAAATTAAAATTGAAACTGTAACACTGAGTTTGTATTACTCCAAAGCAACTAACAAAAACAAACACAGCTCCACTCTGGAATAACTCAATCTCAATTTAGGTCACACAAATGTTCCACAAATCAGGTTGAAAGGGAATAATGAGCTCTCAGATGAAATCGTTAAACACATGAGCAAATCAGACACCAATAGTGCGAAGGAGTCAGGGGAAATGATACACATACACAGAGCAGAATCAGAAAGCCAGAGACTTAAGATTTAGAATAATAACATAATAAATAAAACTATGAATATTTAATATAGTCAAGAAATCAAATATATTGGAAAATATAGCCCAAATTTCCATAAAAATAGTTTAAAATAATATAAATAATCAGGTTAGAAAGAGAATAAGTAGATTTTCTGGAAGAAAAAAAGAAAACGCTTGATGAATTCAAAAGTAATTAGATAATGATGAAGAGAAATATAGTAAAATGGATTGCATGAGCTAAACATTATTTAAAATTATAGAAAATTATTGATCTGAAATGTAAACTCCAACAGCTAAGAGAGAAAAAAAGAACAATACCAACAAATAGTAAAAAACATAGAGCATACATTTAGAGATTCTTAAATTAGCTTCTAGATTAAAATAATACAGAGAAAAATGAAGAGAAAATATTTTTAAAATAATAAGTTAGACTTTCAGAATTATTGAAATATATTGTTATGAATTGCACTATATTTCCTAAGAATGTTTCATAATATCTAACTATGGTTATAATTTCATTTAAGAGTGGGTTTCCTCCATTCTGAGAATGAGGCAGGATTAATATAAAGGTATATTGGGTCAATCTATTTTTAGATAAAACAGAAATTAAATCCAGAAATGTTAGAACAGACATCTTAAGCAACATAGAAGATTGTCCCAACAAAGAAACTCCAAAGAAAACAAGGACTTCTTGTTTTCCAACACAGAGCCTTCCCTGAGTGATGGCACATTGGATTTGATTCCTCCTTCCCACTTAGAGTAAAATGTGAACGAAAAGAGATGGACTTAATAAGGAACCATATAAAATGAAAACAAAATGTAAAGATTTGTTACAGTAGTGGTGTCATACAATATTTTTCTTTTTGTGATTAACTAATTTCACTCAAAATAATATTCTATAGGCCCATCCATGTTAGGAGTTTTTCACAGGTTCATCATTATCCTTTAACATTGTATCATAATCCATTGTGTGTGTATACCAAATTTTATTTATCAATTCTTCCACTGCTGCACATTTAGATTATTGCCATCTTCTTGCTACTGGGAATAATGTGCGGTGAGCATGGATGTGCATGTATCTATCCAAGAGAAAACCAGAAAAACCTCAATTTCAGAAGTTAAATGAACATGGAAACCGTAACCCTGAGTCTATATTGCTCAGGGGTAGAGCGGCAGCTCTAATTTCTCTAGGAGTGGCTGTGCATGCCTTCCGTCCATTTCTCAATTGGTTTATATTGTGCTTTTCCTGTTCAGGTATTGAAGTTTACTATAACCTTTATAGATTAGTCTCTTGTCAGATATGTCACCACCAAAATTTAATTTTCTCAGTATGTGCTTGTCTTCTTAGCCTTCTGATGAATCTTTCAGTGTCTCGTTTTTAGATGTCCCAGTCACCTAGATTTTCTTCTGCTGTTCACAAGTGTCGATAGTGTATTATTGCCACAAGTTAAGATCCCTAAATTTTGCCCTATATTGTCATTGATGATCTTTGTTTATAGTTCTACATTTTATATTTAGGTGTTTGATCCATCTTGAGTTCATCTTTTGTATATGGTTGGCAATAAGGATTATTTTATTTTTCTGAAAATGAATATCCAATTTTCTCAACACCCTTTGTTAAAGGAGGCTACATCTTCCCCATTTAACGTGTTTTGGCCCTTTGTTAGAAATCGGCTGTCCATTGGTAGATGAGTTTACTTCTGGGTTCTCAGTCCTATTTCATTGATCTGTTTGTCCACTGTAGCTGGTATGCCTACCACGGCTGTGTAGTGCATTTTGAAATAGGGAAGTGAGTATACCTTGTTTGTTCTCCAGGAGTGTTTTGTTTATCTGATGTTTCTTTCATTTTCATACAAAGTTGTGGATTGGCTTTTCCATATCTTTTAAATATAATTTTAAAATTTGGGTTGGGATTGCATTATATCTGTCGATAACGTTGTGTATTATTTACATTCTTACGATGTTAAGTCTTCCTATACAAAAGAGTAGTATATTCTCATCTAGGTCTTTAGAGCTTGTGAGCAACTCTAAGGTGCAACTATTGGTCTCTCCCCACCCAGTGGAAAGACTTATAGAAACAATTAGTCCAGTTGTCTACTGGACCATGTAAACATCGATTTCCACAATCCTGGACCAGAACAAGATGGCATCCAGCTACCACCACCAACTGCTCTGAAAAATAGAACACATTAGAAAGTCTTGGATAAAGTAGAATAAAATATGGAATAAAACACAAAACAACATAAAATAACAGACCTACTTATCAAAGAGATACTAGTGGTACCCCCAAGGCTATGGTCCTTCATGGATGTAATGGACCCCCTCCCCATGTTAGAGTAATCAACCATTTAAGGTCAAACTGTAAACACTGAAGGAGCCCTGGTGGCATTACGCTTGAGGCCTACACACTAGGCTGCTCATCTTTAAAGGTAAATGCTTCCAAACTACCACCCTCTGCTTGGGACAAAGATGGGAATTCGACTCCCAGATAGAGTTAGTCTCTGAAACCCACAGGGGCAGTTCTACCCTGCCCTATAGAGTCACTATAGGTCAGCAGTGTGTTTGTGTTTGGGGTTTTGGCAACATTTACCCATGACAAAGTTCAGAAGGTTAGGAGATAAGCAGTGGAAACAAGACACAGGAAAGTAGACTAAGTGATGGTACAGTCAGGGCACTGCAATGGCTGAGCTGAACCAAAATGTCTATGAACTGTTGCATGTACAAATGATGTTCTGTTATGTAAACCTGCACCAATCAAAATTGAAAAAATTAAATAAAAACTTAAAATAGAATAAATAGAAAAGGTCATCAAGAAACTTCCAACCAAGAAAGGTCCAGGACAAAATGGCTTCACAAAGGAATTCTACCAAATATTCAGGGAAGAGCAGACCCCAATTCTAAACAGACAGTTCCAGAATATAGAAAGGGACAACAAACTCATTCTATGATGTAACTTAACCCTGATACCAAAATCAGACAAAGAAACCACCAAGACAGAAAACTACAGAATAATATCCCCATGAATATAGACACAAAAATTTTCAACAAAATATGACCAATGGAATCCAATAACATTTTTTTAAAATTTGACCATGATCAAGTGGAATTCATACCAGGGATGCAATGATGGTTCAACATTTTAAAAACAATCAACGTATTCCACCAAATAAACAAAATAAAGAATAAGAGCCACATGATCATGTCAATAGACGCAGAAAATGCATTTGACAATATCCAACATCCACTTTCAGTAAAAAAAAAATCGACAAAATATAAATACAAGGGAAATTCTTCAGCATAAGGAAGCCCATATACAAAATCCAATAAGAAATGAATAAAACTGAAACTATTTCCTCTGAGAATGAGAACCAAACAAAGATGCCCCTATCATCACTCTTATTCAATATCATGCTGGGAAACCTATGGCAGGGCCATTAGACAATAAAAAGAAATCAAAGGAATAAAATTGGACAAAGAAGAAGTGAAATTCACTATTTGTAGACAATATGATTTTATATGTAGAAAGTTCCTAAGACATGCAAAAAGTGTGAGAAACAATTGGGGTATTTGATAAAGTAGCTAAAATTAATAAGCAGAAATCAATTGGATTCCTGCATACCATCTAACAGAGCTCTGAAAAAGACACCCTGAAAACAATACCGTTTATACGAGTTACACAAAATATGAAATAGGAGCAAGCCTAACCAACCAAACAAACAAACAAAAACCCGCTATAAAGAAAACTAAAGAACACCATTATAAGAAATCAAAAGAGACATCTACAAAGGAAGAATACCCTATGTTCATGGATAGGAATGTCTAATATTGTTAAAGTCAGCACTACACAAAGCAATCTATAAATATAATGCATTTCCAACCCAAATCCCAACTTTATTTTTCATAAAAATGGAAAAACTAATTATTAACATCATACAGAGCGGTAAGAGATCTAGGATAAGCAAATAACTCTTTAAAAGAACAAAATAGGAAGCCTTTTACTACCCAACCTCAGAACCTGTGGCCCAGTCACAGTAGTCAGAGCAAATTGTACAATGGTAGTACAGAAAAATGGAAAAGACTATAAATCCTAGAAAAAAATGCATATACCTATTCACAACTAATTTTTGACAAAGGAACAAAAATCATTAAATGGAAAAGAGCCAGCCTGGTCAACAAAGAGCACTGGCAAAATTGGGTCGGCATCTGCAGAAGGAGGAAACAAGACCATACGTCACCCAGTACTCAAAGACATACTCAACATGGAACAGAGGTCTAAACGTAAACCTCAGGGCTGTACGAATCACTAATAAGAAAATTGGGACAAACTTAAGGGACCTATTGCAGGGCATACACAGACTACCAAATATAATAAAGGATATACACACAGAAGATAGTATAGATGACTGGAAGTCACTAAAACTAAACACTTATGTGCATCAAATGACTTCAGTATTTGAAGAAGACCAAAAAGAGAGTCCGTGGACTGGGGAAAAAATCTTTACCAATCAAACACACACACATACACATACACACACACACACACACACACAACTCCTCCATAACAATAACTCGATGGCACCTAATAACAAAAAACAGAAAACAGGGGCATGATTTATAATGTTCCCCAATAAAAATAGACTGATGTTTCTAAAGTGGATGAGGGACATATATAAGCCATAGATACATGACTAGATTTTGACTTTTCACTTAATCATAGCCCTAATCTAGTCAGTTAACAAGTCCCTTCTTTCCATAATTCCTTATGTGAGGAATTATAATTCTGAACTCTATGCCTTTGGCTAAAATCCCATTTTAAAGGTACTTTTCTGCTCAATTCATGGAAAGAGTCAAGTCCTGATATTAGTAGAGGGTGTGAAACAAGTCGACCCTTAGTTTCTGTGGGTGTGTGGTCTACTGAAAGGGAAAAGCCATGCCCCAAGGCCTCTCCTTTGCATATAAGAACTATCTAGGGCAGACATAGAAACCCCAGTACCACTAGTAGTACCCAGTAGTGGAGGCCAAGGCCAGAGGCACCAGAGACTGTGGCACAGAGGCTCCGAGGAGCAGCCCCAAGACTATGCGGTACCTTCTCCTCATCTGCAACTGTAAGACAGAGTGACAAGTGGGCTTCATGGTCCACACATGCAAAGGCCAAGGGGCCACTTGACTGGGAGGCTAAGAAGCAGAGAGTGACATGGGTCCTGGTTGTGAAGTGTTGATGTGGACCAACGATTTTATCCTGACTTGTGTTGACCGGTTAATGCTCCTAAAAAAAGCCCAAGCTCACTGCCTTTGAGTCAATGCTGACTCATAGTGACCTGCTGTGGGTTTCCAAGGCTATAACTGTTAGGGGAGTAGAAAGCCAGTCTTTCTCCCACGGAGCTGCTGATGGTTTTGAACTGTCAACCATGTGGATCACAGCCCAACCATAACCACTTATACCACGCAGGGCTTCCCAACTCTGCTCATAGACCCCTTTCATTATAAGCATGGTCTGTGGGTGCTATGTAGCCATTGCAATGAATTTTTGAACCCAGAATAGGAGCTCTGTGGGCTTAGTGGTTCCATGTGGGGCTGCTGTCCTTAAGGGCCAAACTGTGAAACCACCAGTCTCTTAGTAGGGAAAGAAGGACTTTCTGATCCAGTAAGTGGTTTCTCATTGGGCTGCTAAGTAAAAGATCAGCAGTCCGAAGCCAACGGACACGATGCAGTAAAAAGATGAGGATTTCAGTCTCAGTTACTGTCTCAGAAACCCACAGGGGCAGTTCTAACCCTGCCCTATAGGGTCCCTATGAGTCGGACTTGACACACTGGCAATGAGTTTTGTTGAGAAAGAGTTACAGTCTCAGAAATTTGCAAGCAGTCCTATCGTGTCCTACAGAGTCGCTATGAGTTGGCATCAACTGGAAGGTAGTGAGAGCATCGTAGAATGCCATGGAAGGAACAGTTGGTGTCAGAACTAGTAAGGAATGATGGAGGGAGGAAGCATGTCTGACGTCGGCCTTGTGGCCCTTGGGAAGCCAGAGGAGGGCAGATATGGCTCCCATGCCATTCACCGCCCTCTGTAACTAAAAATTACAAGCACATTCAAGGTTTGAATTCCTAAGATCTTTCATTTGAAAACTTCACAGATCTGTATCTTGGAGCTCCCTCCTGAAATGAACTTAAGACTTTAAAAACATTCAGAGCAAGGCTTTTCACATTTTTAATAGAAAAAGCAAATATAATTCTCAATTTCACACAATGAAATAATCCTGGTTTGCTTATGTAAAATATGAATAGTATGGCAATTGTCAGCTATTTTTACTATATTAATCTACATTATTAAATAAACCAACAAACCAAACTTACCAGTCTCAGATGTCCTTACAGAGAGCAAAGAAGACAGCTGATTGCCATGACCGACCCTAGTATAGGACCTTATAGAAATGTTGTAGAGGGTGTAGGGTTTCAAGTCCATTAAAACGATGCTTGACGTTGAGGAATTCTTTGTAAATAAAGCATCTGTATTTTTATAGAGTACTTCATAACCAACAATAATCCCATTGGGTTTCTCGGGTGGTGACCACTTCAACCGAATTTCATTTGCAGTAACACCAATTATTTGAACCTCTTGAGGTGATGATTCTGGTTCTGGTCGAAGAAAACAAAATTTTAAATGCATGTATTTTGTCATACTCATTTCAAATCCCAAAGTTAGCATGAGGTAGATGACAATGCACATTAAACATTGCTTGTGCTTGCTTCACTTTATTAAATCACCTTTGAATGTCTTACCATCTTCTGGAGTTGTGATAAAGATGTCGTTTTCTTCAGACAAAGAACTTTCTCCAACATGGGTTGAAGCAGCCACTCTCATTTTGTATCTTGTATATTTCTTTAACCCTAAAGCAAAACAGGCAATTTGTTTAAAATCCTTAAAATAACATTCCTGGATTAGGGCCATTTAACATTGGGCTAGTGAAAATAATCCATTTAATCCCAATCTCCCCGAATTCCTTAGGTGGTAGGGCCTTTCCATGTGGATGAGGTTTCATCTCTCTCCTAAAAGATTAAGTCTATGTCCTGAGGCTCAGGAATGATATTTGGCACAGTGTGGGAGTGTAGTTGCCTCGACACAAGCACCACGTCAGCATAATTGCTTCAGTTCCATCTACATTAATTCACTCCAGTCTTCCTTCAGCATCAACTTCTTTTGATGTACTAGGTAAAAACTTTCCTTGGTTAAGTTTATTCCAGTGAATATTATGGTGCTGTTGGTTTCTCTAAGGATAAACATAGTTAAAGAAAAACAACTTTAATTGGCTTATTTCTGCAGGTATTTTTCAAGAGCTCCACAGCAGCAGCGCAAGCGCGGCGAAACCTGAAATGACAGCGTGCCTTTGGCAGTGGGAAGGCAAGAGAAAGACGCATATTGGCCATCAGAATAGACATTTCAAGAGCAAAACTTTGTTCTACCTGTTATGAGAAAGCTGTTATCTACAGTAGTCATCTGGAAGGCTCTGCTTGTATCCAGTTCCATTGCATAAATTGTATAATGAGTGATTTTTCCATTGGGATATTCTGGAGGATCCCAATATAATAAAATAGATGAAGAACTAATATTTCTATAGTTTATTATTTGGATGGAGCTTGGCACTTCAAAAGAAGAATGAACAAGTATATGAATGAAAAAGTGTTACGATGCGCCCAAGTCGTGTTTGCGGGTACTTCTTTGAAGGCATATGTCTTCTTACCTTGCTCACGTGTCCTAACGTTGAGAACCGTTGGTGGGCCTTCTCCCACGATGGTGAAAGCAGATACACTAATCATGTGCTCAGTGAAAGGGGCCAGTCTCCTGACAACGTAAGACAGCTGTTCAGCAGCAATGTCCGTAATGTACTGATTCTTCATCGTAACTATTCGAAATTGGGGGGGGAAGCAAAATGTTGGACTTCACACTCAAAATAATGCTTGCTCATATGCTGAAATATTAAACCTGATTACATATCATTTATTAATCTCTCCAAGAAATCCTTGACATGCACACCTTCACACACACACACAGCAAGAGCTATACAATTTTAGAATGTAGTTTAGTTATTAAGACTATTCTGGGACTCAAGAATGTTTTTGTATTTTGGTTTTTTATTTTTCTATAAACTATAACTTTCTAAAGGATATCAGTTAGAAATTATTTCTGAAAAGACAGACCATATATCTAATATATGGTCTAATATATATTGAAGTATCACAAATCATAGGAGAGCTACAGAAATAAGACTCATTTGAACGCTAATTCTGCATGCTTTCACTACCTCCAATAACACTTTAGACTAAGCATGCTTGCACAATTGACACAGACACATGAATCCGGGTTTCAAGTATGGCGAGGCTTTTATTTTATCTAGAACTCAGACTTCTGAAAAATGTTATCAGAAATGTAGGCCAAACTTGAAGTATTTGAAGAAACAGCTCTATCAAAAATCCCAGGCTTCTTGGTTTTTAATGTTGTGTCCAATATTATTTTCACAGGCGGAAAGGGTAAAAAATTAAATAAACATATATGAATGTACTATTTTTACTAGCTTTAACACTTGTGGAATAATACTATAATTTGGCATGGGATAAATACCAAATCCAAGAAAAGGCAAAGGAGTAAATTATCCTGCTCAGTTCACAGTAGAGAAAGAACAGAGGTAACACCAGTGTTATCTTACAAAGGATTTTTAATTTGCTGTCTAAGACCATTCCCCTTTTAGAAACAGAAAGATCCATTGACACCACAGAGCAAGTGTGTACACTAATGACATCACCACGTCAGTGGAGTTACCTACACCTGTTGATTGCCCCATGCACTAGAGTTGTAACTTTCTGACCTATTTACCTTTAGTGACATTTGAAAACCTATTTGTCAAAAGCTGCACAGAGCAGAAGGCCTGTAAATGATTTGAAGATATGTTAATCCCTTCCCATCACACCTGCTTTGGCAACTGTAATAACTGATTGTCTATGCAGCTTGGCCGGAGACTCTAGGGTGCTACTTTTTCTAGGAGGAAGGTCAAATGGGTTAGGAGGGGCCAACCCCTGCCTGTGTGGCATTCCCATTTGCCGCTAAAGGCTATCCAACAGTTAAAAAAATCTGACTGCAGCCCATGAACCATTAATAATTTAGTTGAACTCGAAGCAAAGGTTCATATAAGTGTTAGCACTTCTGGTGGCTAAGATGCACTATACCGAGAATAAAATTTTTACTTACTAGTTGTTGAATACTGGTGTTCGGCTCTATTCCTTGCAGGAAAGTTATATGGAAGGTTGTGATACACAAGTGAAGCAAATGAGTGCAGGTCGGAAGACATCTCTGCTGAACCCTCCAGTAATTCTGTCATTGGCTCTACTATGTTCATAGTCTCTGAAGCCATGGGTTCATTAATATACTGTAATCAAAAACAAATATTTTCAAATCTGCTTGTGATCTCTACACTTAATATTAGTTTGCCACAAGTAGAATTACTTTAAAAAATAACAAAAACTAGTGACTTTGAAACGGAGACTTGGTGGCACTGTGGAGTAACAGATGGACAATGGACTATAACATATTTGGATCAAACGCCCAGACAACCTGCAGGAGAAAGATGGTGCTAACTGCTCCTGTAAAGAGCTAAGAAACCTCTGAATCCCTATATAAGGTCGATATGAATAAGGAATCCACTTGATGACCATGGGTTTTGTTTGGAGAGTGACTTTGAAAATATGCTTTTTCAAAGGTAATATTTTCATTACCATCCAAGACTGCATTCTCAAGCTCCTGAAATCCTGCATCATTGTAACACAGGGTGATTACTTCCCTATCTCAAAAGGCCAATCCTGTACTTGACTGAGCAGCAGATTTAGTTAGTTCTGACCTGAGCTAGATTCTAACAGATAAAATTAGACATCTGTGTGTGAAGTCTTCAGGACTAAAATATTTTACCTGCTCATCAGCAAAAAGATAAAAGTTCTAGACATACTCCCTGTAAGGGCAGTAAATGAGTTTATGTGACTCTGTTAGCCCAACTCGCTAAAATGCCCACCAAACAATCTTTGCCTGCCTGGGTTTGGGTAGGAAGGTAGGGAAGACACTGATAGGGTTCACCTGTGAGTAACTGATCGTTGATCCATTGTGAGAAGTAAAAGAAGGGATCTTAACTGCCAGCAAGAGTTGGGTCCCCTGCACTAAATATCCCTGTGCGGTGAACTTCTGGATCCAGAACAGCTTTGACATAAGCGAAGCAGAAGCCAAAGCTGGAGGCAGAGGACAAAGCAGGGGGTGGACTTCCCAACCCACGGAGTAAGTAAAGCTGAGTGCTTTGGGGCAGAAGCTGGAGTGGGGTGCCTCTGGACACTTAGTAGGCGATACCGAGCTTGCTGGCCCCTGGAAGTGGCTGAGAGACTTTAGGCTGTGGTTTACTAAAGTGAGGGTGTCTCTGGGCACTTACTTTGTGGCGCTGATACCCTGTCCCCTGGAGCTGGAGCTGAATACCTTGGGGTTGAGAGTGAAAACAGAGTGGCATGCCTTTTGGGCACTTATTAGCAGCCCTGAAAGAACTTTATAACATTTCCTGACTGAACATCTGTATTCTGAGTATTTCCCACCTGCACTGTAAGCTATTAACATCTTTAATAAACTCATTAATCATGAATATTGTCTCTGAGGCTTGTGTATCCATTGCAATGAATTACTAAACTCAGTAGCTGAAAAAGTAGAGAGTGTTGTAAATGACAACACACTCCCATCATTTTAAAAGCTGTTTTACTCCTTTTTGTACTTTCTTTGCATTCCAGGTGTAAGAAGCCAATTGTGCTTGCTTGATGTACATCAGGGATGGTGGTTTTTCTGTAGTGAATATTCACATCATGATAAAAAAAACTGTATGGTACTTGTTTTTATAGGATTCATATCAGACTTATCCAAGCATCTCGACCTGTAAAATATTTTATCTGCAATTGTCCCTAGATCTAACCTGGTGCACTTCAAATTCATCAAGTGTCACCATGACATGAAACCATCAGAAGTAAACATGTGCAGTAAATATTTTTTTGTTGACAGAACAGTATGACATATTTGACTGAAATAGACTAGGAAAAGTATGTGTTGTCTAAAGAAATACTATTAGATATTTTGTGTAAAATGTTGACCATGCAAATAACACTAAAATTAATCAAAAGCAACTTAAGAGTATTTTTCTCAAATGAAATATGTATATGTTTAGATTGCGATTAGAACAAATTTACCAAGGTAAATCTTGGAGATCATCAGGGAAATTTGAGCATAGTGTATATATTAGATAATATCAAGAAAATATAAGCTGTGGTGTGTTATTATAGAAGGTATTAAAATGTCCATCTGACTGTAGAGATGCATGCTTGGCATGAAGGCATGCTGGTGGCAATGTGGGGAAAGTGCTGTGGGTTCAGAGGTCAGCATTTCAAATCTGTCGGATAATGTTGCTGCAGTAGGTTCCCATAAAGATGGGCACCCTTGGAAAAAGTATGAGGAAGTTCGACTCTTTTCTATAGGGTCGCTATTGAGTAACTATGAATCCGAATCAATTTGAGGGCAGGCTGTTTGGTTTGGGTTTAGGCATGTAGGAGTGACCATGACGTGAAATGTGAAATTTAATTTAAAGTACTTCTGCAGTAGAAACAGAAAAGAGAGACATATGAGACAAGAGGGGCAGAAACTGATAGTTATTACATCTAGGTGGAGAGCAGATAGGGATTCATTAAACGCTTTTCTTTACTTCTGTACTTATATGAAATTTGGGGGAAAAGATCACAACTTCTCTCTCTTTCGTCATTATCTTTTCAAGTTCTGTTTCAAACCTCACCTCCAAAACTTCTCTTCAAAAATGTTACCCAAATTCCATTCAATGCTGTACCCTTGTATCTTCTGAACAACTATTTTTATTGCAGCTTTTGCTTTTCTTTCTTTCTTTTCTCTTTTTTTCAAGTTCCATGCACCTGTCCTTTAGCTATCTTACCTGTGTTTGTGGTGCCCTAACACACAAGGCTAAAAATACTTTATATGTCTTCCTAACACTAATGTTCTCAGTATTTTCAAGCAAAATGGTAAATGTTCAGAAAAGCAAAAATAAATAAATAAATAAATTCTAGAGCAGTTTAAGTAAGCTAAACATCAAAAGGTAGGTCATTTAAATGTTAACTTTTTTGAGGAATGGAGAAGATGCCATAAAATACTCTGTCCTTCCAATGATATTTATATAAAACTTGATAGAGTGGGAAAACCTTGCATTGAAAAGCAGGGAGACATCTTTAAGATCTACTTTAGAAAGTTCTGTGATTAAAATAAAAACAACTCAGCCTAGGGAAAGCTGCAGGGGGAAAATTAAAGGCCTTCCATCTTCCAATAACCACTTCAGCTATTCCTCCACGGGGAAATCAAGGGTGAGTGGTGGAAGGGGGATGGGGCACGAGTCACAATCACATAATTCAGAGGTGCTCTGGTATTCCCGTCAATATTTTATGTGTGAACAACACAGCTGTTTCTACTATCAATCAGTCACCCTTTGCAGATCTACTCTGCACCAAGTTTGAAGGTAGACTGAGAGAGTACAAAGAATTTACTTATGAGCTATGGTTATTGCATTAAATCTCTCAATATTTTCTACCACATGTCAGATAAATTAGTGAGAAGCCATAGCAGTCCATCAATTATGTAAGTTAGGCAACTCTGTTGGAATACTGTCATCGCAACCTAGTAGTGAAGCTGATATTTTGATTCTCTGGGTTTCTTGCAAATTCTGATGTTCACTGAATGAATCTCCAACTTAGATTCCAAAGCCACTCAGCATGTTACTGTAATTACCAAGTGATCTTTGTATGACTCTTTTCACACTTTGACTCCTTATAAAATTCCTTAGATAATAGGTTTTTTATAGGGCTACAGATAAACAGATATGTGGGGGGGGGGGAAATAAGAAAGTAAAAGAAGGTAGAAGGGGCAAAATGGGGCAAATAAAACATTGAGGGAAGGTCCACTGTAACTTCTAAAAATATTGGACTCATTGGTCACCAGTAACTTATCACTACTAACATTTTGATAATTTTGGTAATTTTCTGCTGTGGAAAATGATTCTATATATTGTAGATGTTTAGTAGCTCATCTGTTCTTTATCAACTAGAAACAAGTAGCACCACTACAAGCCTGAAAAGTAGAAATGACTCCAGAGAGTACCACATGCTCCCCCAGATGTTAAAATCTTCCCCAGCTGAGAATAATCAGTGAATGTCACAATCCATGAACATGGACGACTTCTCATATGCGACCCAGGAAACATTAAAATTTTAATGTGAAAAAGTGAGAATATTTTAGTTATACTTCTAATGCAACTGAATAAATTAGATTTTATATATATATTATATTTAATGAGAATTGTTTAAGAATATATATCTATCAATTTGGACTCACCAAAGATTTAGTGAGTCAGATTAATAAAAAGTGTGAGAGGAGGAATTCAGGGATATGGTTACGAGATAACAGGCAAGGAAGATTTCCTTAGCAATTACTGGAGAGGTTTCACTAGGAGAAATATCTTATGTTCCTAAGAATGAAGAATTCCATTTAAAAACTAAGTAGATTCAAGTGTTTTAAAGTGGGAGAGTCATGACACCTGCAGACATACTCCCTTTAAACACTGGCCAACACCAGAAGCCATTCATGTAAGTCCCACTCTTATCCAGTGCAGCAAATTCCCCTGAGGCAACCCAGCCAACCAAATCTCTTACCTCACTGGCCTCTCGTGGTCCTGCATCAATAGCAGATCATATAGGCTGCTTAGTACAGATATTCTCAGTACCAATGCTATATTTTTCATCATTCTTTCCTGCTTGTTCTCTGGTACCTTCATGCCCCTGACATGGCTCACCTCTCCCAAGCAATATGTACTTAAGCACAATGGCACTACAAAAGGAGAATGAATCCTCATCCACAAGGTGGTTTTATTTTATTTTGTTTTTGTACTTTTGTCCTACTGAATTACTTTTATTATTTGATTTCTAGTACTCTTCTGCCTGTCTGGTTTCCTATTTTGGTACAACTACTCCTGAGAATATACATTTCCCACAAAAACAGGTAGGCCAGTAGATTCTGGCACACCTATCTAAACAAGGGTGTTTTTCCCCCTCTGAGTGCACTTACCCACACACATTCATGCTGATATAGCAACAGAACTTGGAGAAGCAGTGGCTTGCTTAACAATACTTACATGGAACCTGAGAGGAAAATATGCCTGGTACTATGTTCCTAATGGGACACTTTTGATCCAGTTTCTATCCAGCCCTTGGTGACCCACACTGTGTACTGTAGACGATTGGCACTTTATACTCTGTCTTTCAAGGTGCTCACCATCCTTCCCAGACCACATCAGAAGGATTC